CCATACAGTTCTCTATCTCAACTAAAACACATTATGTTAAAGTATTTTAACAATCACCAGTGTCCTAGTGACTTTAGACCACTTAAATACCTTAATCAGAAAGACTCAATATAGTCATATGTTTTAGACTGATTAGTGGGATAGTGGAAAGGCTGTGGAGTCACAAAGACCTCTGGGGCTGCCACTTACCTGGCTATGTAATTTTTTTTTTAAGGCCATTACTGAGACTCAGCTTTCTACTCGAATAAAGTAAGGATAACAAGACACATATCTCAAGAAGCTGCTGGAATGCTTACATGGAAAAAAAAGTATGACGTATAAAACAATTAGTGCCTGGAACTTAGAAGTGGCTTTTCTGGGGGGGAGGGGGGGGGAGTCAATTATAGTGGATATTTTTTAGTTTTCACTTTGCTTTATTTAGTTTTCATTGCAGTTTTCCAATGTATTCCTTCCTTCAAACATTTGGTGACAGTATACTTGAGCTTGTCTTCTACGTTCTTCTCAGTTAATCCACCTCTTCTCCCCTTTTAATCTTTAAAAACGTTGGAATTTCTCAAAGATGGATCCCACTCTCCCCCTCTTCCCCCGCCCACCAGTGCTAAATTAATGGCTTCAATTACTATCTATAGTAGAATGGCTCAAGGTTTTAAGACTTCTCTAGCGCTCCAAACCAATATATTCAAGTACCTACGATATCTAACTTTGGATATCTGATAGGTACTCCAAGATCAACACATACAAAGTTGATTATCTTTTTTTTATTGTCTTCTGCTGTCCCCAAATAAACACCCATGACTTGTTAGTGACCCCTACCTCAGTGAAAGGCATCAACATAAGCCAGAAACCAGAGATTACCCTTCATCTACTCTCTCCTTTCCCATCATCCTTTATCATTCCTTCATTCACCTACATCCAATCCAATCCCCTAAACCCAACAATTTCTCTCCCATATTTCCTTTTTTCTCTCTTTCCACTGCCAACAATCCTTATCCAAGCCACGATAACCTACTGCCTGGAAAATGGTTTTTTAAAGTGATTCTCGGGCCGGTTGTGTGGGGCATTGGTTAAGAGTTGGCTTGGGAGTGCTGGCTCTCAGCAACAGGGCTGCGGTTCGGATCCCACATAAGGGCCAGTGACGCTGCGCCCTCTACAGCTAAGATGGTGAACAACAGCTCAACCTGGAGCTGAGCTGCCCTGAGTCACCTGTGATGGCGTAGGCTGCAGTGGGGATGGCCTGCAGCGGGCGTGAGCTTTTGTGAGTAGCCGGGAGCTGCCGTGGGCGGCTGTCCAATGGCCGGTGACCCACAGCCTCACCCAGGAAGAGCGAAATGATAATACCAACATGGGCCAGTGAAGCGATGTCCTCCACAACTAGACTGAAGGACAAAAGGACAGCAACTTCTGTGTTCCCCTTCCCCAGTTCCCCAATAAAAATCTTAAAAAAAAAAATAATGTGGTTCTCTTCCTCCAAACCACCCCTCATGCTGCTGCTAGAGTAATCTTTAAAAACGTAGCAATCATTTAAAAATGATCCCGTCTTCCAAAAAGTCCTGCATGTTTTGATCCTGCCTACCTCACCAACCCTATCTTCTACCTTTCTGTCCCATTTTGTTTCATTTTCACAGGCTTTCTTTTGCTTCCTCAAGGCTTTCAGAGAGTTCTGATTGGGGAATGCTTCCTCCATTAAATAAACATACCCCAGTTTATTTCCACTCACCCTTTAGAACTCTTTTCAAATGCTACTTCCTTAAAAAAATCATTGTCATCTGTGGAGAAAGGTTAAGTTTTTGCTATCATAGCATCCTGTACATCTCTCTCTTAGCCCTTATAACTATAATTAATCAAATAATTATGTAACAGTTGTCTTAATGTGGATCTCCTTCTCTAGAAAGTAAATTCAAAGGACATAGGGACTGGCTGTGTCTTATACCCCCAGTGCCTACTGGTACCTAATACAAAGAAGTACAAAAAGAGTTCATTGAATGAATACATGCATACATGAATACAAAAAAAAATCAGTACTTCCACATAAATTTAGCATAGTGTTTAATTTCTTGATTTTCAGATTACCCCACAAAAACACATGATGCATTGCTTCAAACTTAAATTCTACTACACTAAGCTACATTAAAATTCACTTCTACAAGTTGAATCTAACAATAAGCCTGCGAGATGATTATGATAAATATACCTGTTTGAGATTAAAAAAAAATTAGTGGCTGAACTCACACATCTAATATAAAGAAAACAATCCCTAGAATACAATTCTTTAGGCAGTTTTCCTACTCACTAGCTATCTTCCACTCATGGCAATTTTAACCGCAAACAAATATTTTCCAAAGATAAAGACAGCTCAAAAACGGATGTAATTAGTTAAATATTTTACCTCAGGTAATTACAAGTTTTATGCATGTGCATTTGCACTTTAATAAATATCTTAAAGTTTTAAAAAAGACGTTAACCAAAACAAGCTTTTCATCTTTTAAACTTTCACCTTGTGACGTCACATCCATTAACCAGATTTCATTTTACACTTCCCTTTCCCCCAATTTTAAAACACCCCCTCAATTTACAAATATAAAATTGCATAGATAAGCCACCACATTTTTTTCCTAACAGCCTACAAAGTAGATTTACTCCTTCACTTAACTACAGTAGGCGACCACTCCGTTAAGTCTGAGGACTTTTTCTTAAACATCACCTTGCCCAAGGGTCAGATATTCTGGCCGAAGTTCCAGGGAGCAGTTACAACTAGTCTGCAACACCTATACTGCTGAGAAACGATCGTGCTAGAAAGGAAGAGGAACACGTTTTTACTTACTCCACAAACGCCCTGGAGCAGAGGCAAAGGATCTTATAATCCTCTTCCAGGTCTTCAATGAAGAGAAACATTTCGGCCACGCGGCTCCACTTCTCGCAGCACATTTTAGCACTTCAAAGGAGGCAGCCCTGCGGTAAACCGCACGGAACCGGCCTGTCCGGCCTCTGCTGGGTTATTGGAGACCGAAAGCAGCCCTCGCCGGCACGCTCCGGATGTGGGTTTAGGAACGGACTCGAGTCGCTCTGACCCGGAGCCACCTGAAGAGATCAGAGGAAGCTACGGAGCTTCCACCGGAAGTGATTCCTGGAGACCACAGGAAGAGGCGGGGCGANCAGGTTTTATCATCATTTTAGTGAAGAACCAAAGACCCAGAGCTATTACACGACTTGCCCAAAATGAAAGTACACAAATGTTAGAATTTTTAAGGGGAAGAAAAAAAAAGGGAAAAGGGAATCGATGGTAATAGGGACTAGTAAAAAAACAGCCAACTAAGAATTAAGAGACAATTTCTAGTCTGGCTCTGCCTGCCACTACCATCCAGCTGTTCATTTAATTTACATTTAGAGTATCTCCTCTGTGCTGGGCAGTGTACAAAGTACTAAGGACATAAGAAGGAATGCAGCAGAGTAACTATAGGGAAAATATTTACATTTTTACATTCTTATGTGCAATATTACTGAACTAGATCAGTGGGTTTAAAATGGTATTTGTAGTTATTTTAGGAGCTGTTAATAGGAGAGGTGAGAGATATGCCTTTGGTCCCCTCATGGGTACTTCCATCACAACTGGATTTACATCCTGGGACTCTATGGGAGAGTTGATTTAATGAACGTGTTCTGCTATTAAAAGTCTGAAATCTACTGAAGTGGAAGATTCTTTCAAGTGCCCCAATTCTAGGTCTTAGAGAAAACCTGTTTCATTATAATAAAACAAGTTTTACTTTACCCAATTATGCTGGGTTTTAAAAAAGATTTTATTGGGGGAATCGGGGGAGGGAAATAGTGTTGAGGAATTGGGGAAGGGGACCAGCCAAGTTGTTGTTCTTCAGTCTTTGTTGTGGAGGGCGCCAGTCGCCATCTGGCTTCCCATCAGCAGCTTGTGGCCTCTAAGCTCAAGGTGCTGTGTTCATCTTAGTTGCGGGTGGGCATAGCCCACCATCAAACAGGCAATCTTGCTGTTACACCAGCTGAGCCATCCCAATACCCACTGGCAGCTCAGCAACAGCTCAGCTCAGGCACAGCATCACTGGCCCATGTGGGAATCGAACCAGCGGCGCTGTTGCTCAGAGCTCACGCTCTTAAGCCAACTCTTAACCAACTGAGCCACTCGGCCGGCCCCCAAATATGCAGGAACAAAGTAGGTGGGTGGAACTGGAAGTGGAGAGGTGTTTGCAATATAGAAGTGGGAAGCTTTGACTGTGTCAGGTAAATGCCCAACACTGAACAGTAGAAAAAATACTTATAGAGAAATGCACTATAGACCTTATGTTTTGATCTCAAGGGAGAATCAAAAACAAATCAAAATCTAGAATTCTCAAATTGATCCTGATGGCAGTCACATGGAACTAATTACAGAAATGGCCAACTACATACATAATTAAGGGAACAGGTAATAGGAATGGTCAACCTATACACATAGCTTAAGGAACAGGCAATAGAAGGCAGAGACTGTGAGGTTTACTGTTTGATAAAGGAAAAATGTAGGAAGGTAAGGGAGGATAATCAGAAGCAGTGACATGAAGCAGTAAGATGGGGCCAATGCATTGACCAATATATACATTTCAAGTTTTATTGTCAAAATAAGTACAGCAAGTAATCAGTAGAGTGTTGAAGAATATCAAAAGACTAACATAATCACATAAAAAGGATAACAGCAGCAAAATAGAAAGGAATGAGAATACTGTACTGAAGTTAAGCTCCATTCTAACAGTGCAGAGAAAAGAGTAATAAAGTAGATAGAGCTCTTTAGTAACTTTCAAGAGCAGCGGTTCTCAACCTGTGGGTCGTGACCCCTTTGGGGGTCGAACAACCCTTTCACAGGGGTCGCCTAAGACCATCGGAAAACAAAAAGATATTTATATTATGAATCATAACAGTAGCAAAATTAGTTATAGAGTAGCAACAAAAATAACTTTATGGTTGGGGGTCACCCACACCATGAGGAACTGTATTAAGGGGTCGCGGTATTAGGAAGGTTGAGAACTGCTGCTCTAGAGGACTCTCAACTACAGATGAAGATCAGCGACCTGAGATGAGCAAAGCGAACCTAATTGTTAAGTAAAAGGCCAACACATTTTGCTTCATATAGGAATAAGGCTGAGAAGTCCCTATGAACCAGACTTCCAGCACGAAACATCAAGGATGCCAAGGTAACATCTTAGTGGGCTTCAGGAAAAATCCAAGTTATAAAAATTTCCTCCACTCCCATTTTCCTGGTGCCTTTAGTTGGTAGTACCCTTCTCCCCAGCAAGAGCATTCTTATCCACTCTAACTTCTCTTAACACACTTCTTACTGGCTTTCTTTAGTTCTGACAGTGGCACCAGTCTGCACGATTTTTTTTATTTTTATTAATTAGGCAGGAGTGAACCAAGATCCTTAGCCTAGATATTTTATGAGAAGTCTGAAATCAACCCTTCTGGTTATAAACTAATATCATGCCTTGCTGAGATTCCCTATAGAGGAAGATTTCACTTGTCTCAGCTGAATTCCAGATATGACTCCTATTCAGATTTGCCTAAGGCCAAACATGCGCTCTCAATTTCTTTAATGTGCCTTCATGTCCTCTGGAGAAAGTTGGATGATCCAACCTCACTCCAAATTAGACTTCTCAAAGGATTTCCAAGTTTTAAGTCACTGGCCACAAGGTATAAAAGGAAGAAATGATACTTTTGAGAAGTCTGTGCAAGTATTCTTTTTTTATTTATATAAAAGGGTAATAAACAACTTGTGATATAAAAATAAGATGGATTAAATAATTTCATTATTAATCTATAAAATGTATCTGGCATTATTTAACTCTACCATAAAGGATTAGTGTTAGTAATTTTGCTAAATAATTCATTTATTTAACCATTACTTAGTTGGATAAATCTTGGTCACTCTTACCCTGAGCTGGTTGGTTTGCGCTTCTATTCTCAGACAAGTTGTTACCTTCCTTGGTTCCGCCATCACATGGTTCACTTTGGCCAGAAGCAGGGCATTCTCTTCTGCTGTTAATAGCACTTAGCCACTGATGTCCATCAGAACTTATAGAGGAATCTAAATGGCTCTGTTCTACTTTCCCTGAATTCAGACTTATATTACTAATTCCATCAAGTACTTCAGTATGATCTTTATCACTTGAACTAGAGCTTTCGCTGCCAACTGATGAAGATGGAAAAGAAAGTAAGTCTGCTTTCATGCAATTTGCATCTTTCTCGTTGTTAACTTCTGTTTTAGACCCACAAGTGTTTGAATCACAGCTTTGTGAGGCATCAAAAGTCCAACCCTGAGTCTCCCAATACTGAAATTGTTCTAAATAATACCAATAAAGTTGACTATAATGTTGTTCCCATTCTTCCTTTGTATCAGGACTGTTCCAAGGTTCAGAACATAGGGCTTGCTCTGAATGTTTTTCTTGCCAGCTTTGCCATAACAAACCTCCACCATATTTATTCCAGTACTTTTCCCAGTTCCCTGTAATTTCTAGTTGTGGAGATAATAATGTATTTTCAAAGGTAAGGTTTTCAGTTTCAACGTCTTTTTTGGTTTGAAGTTTACATGTTCTGGTGTTCTCATACCGTTCAACTGAACATGGATCATCTGAGGCCAAAATGTCATCTTCTTCATATTCTTGTCTCCAAGATTCTCTCATAATCTCATCTAAGTACTGCTTTTGGTATTTTTTCTTTTTCTTTTTTATTTTTTTATTTCTAGTGTTCATAGATACCTGCATAAGATAAATAACTTGCATTATAAAATGCACTTCATGAACTAAGAGAAAGTAGAACCCAAATCTATTTAGACATTAAACAAAAACACCCACAATCTCCTCACCCTGTGCTTTTAGTAACACATACAAGTGAACCTTACTACCTAAGTTTCCAAGAGAAGACAAAAAAAAAATCATATGTGGAACATATTACAACTTTCAGTTTGGGTTAATTTATAAATATGTACACTGAAAAAGAGGTAGAGTGCTCTAATTTATGAATGCATTAGATTTGGGATAAAAAAATTCCATATATGATATGATATGAAGAAAACTAAGAAATAGAAATAACAAAATTAATGCTTACCTCAAAATTCTTATGTGTAGACATCCCACCAAATTGAAGTGGCAGTCCCATACTTCTCATGAGTTCAGCCTCAGAATCAAGTTCACTTTCATCTAGGCCTATTTCTTTGCTATCACATGATTCTGCAGTGCCATGGGAATGACTACCTTCTTCTTCAATAGCTTGGTCTCCTACAGATAGTATCTGTTAGCTTAGTTTTCAAGAAAATTTAGACTCAGGTTTTATCATCATTTTAGTGAAGAACCAAAGACCNTATATATATAGTCACAGGACGTGGAGTATAGTGTGGGAGCAGAGTCAAGGGAATTGTAATAGATATGTATGATATGGGGGGTGAGAGGGGCGGCAGGCTGTCACTTTGAGGGGTAAAAAGCATAACTATTGCACTGTGTTGTACAGGTAAAATGAATTTAAAAAAATGTTTGTTTCACAATAAAAAGTTACTGAAATAAAAAAAGAAAAAAAAAGTTAATACTTCTGTTAGATAAGACATTGCTTTAGTGAATTATAGAAATCCAAATTCCGTCCTTCAAAATAAAGTTTCCAAAGGACTGATTAAGCTCTAACTCTCAGCTGCATCAATCCTCTAAACCAGCGGTTCTCAACCTTTCACAGGGGTCGCCTAAGACCATCGGAAAACACATATTTTCGATGGTCTTAGGAACTGAGACACCGCTCCTCTCCGTCTTCAGGCCCACATGCAGATACGCCCACATACGAGTACCCAGTGACCCCTGTGAAAGGGTCGTTTGACCCCCAAAGGGGTCGCGACCCACAGGTTGAGAACTGCTGCTCTAAACCCAGCCATGATTTGAGAAACTGAAAGATGGATCACTAATTCTAGAAAAAGATCTCATTCATTCAGAGACTGTCTTTTCTTAGATAATTTCTTTTAGTTTGGTTATTTGGTTTCAGTTCTCATCAGATTAGAAGACAATTGCTAAGTATAATGACAAAAAGTGATGTTGACAAATAAAACTCTATTACTTGAAAATGTCAAGGATAGGACCATGTCTTAATATGGTCACTGATCACTGCAAATAGCTAAAGGTGTCATCAGTAGCAAAGTGCAATGAAAGTTTCTCAAGAGAAAGAACACTGACATTTTGAGTGTACAACTCTTACTGTGCGAGACCATCCTGTACACAACTTAACCTGAAGTACTAAATGCCAGAATTCCCCAGGTCTTCTAGCAACCAACATCTTCCAAATGACCCTGAGATACTAAGACTACCAGCACTGTGAGAAGTGGTGAATAGGGAAGTAGGGTAGTACGGTGGGAAAATGGGATTTAGGAAACAGACAACTTGGTACTGTGTCCTAGCTATGCTGCTTACTGGCTGATCTCAGGCAAACTTCTTAATTTCTAAGCTTTAATTTCTGTATTTATAGAACAGAGCTAATTGCACCTACCTCTTTGGGCTATTTTACAGATTAAATGAGAATAAGGCTCATGAAAGTATTGCAGAAAGCTGCAAGTGCCACATGAACATCAGATATACATGAAAAAATTGTTCTACAATAAAAAAATTTAACTACCGTGAGCTATTTAGAAAGGCAAAGAAGTATGTGATATATGTATCACAGGTCTATATACACACACGCATGTACAAAGAAAAAAAAAATCAAGATTCAAATGAGGTATTTTCCTCAAATACAAATTAAGAAAGAAATCATCACAGTAAATATAATTGCTCCATTAGGGCAAGTCTGAAATAACTCATCAATAAAAATGAGTACTATTTCAAATAAAAATTTCTACCTTATAAAAGCCTCAAAGTTCCATTAAATATAATAATTATTTTTTAAATTATAAAAGGACATTTGCTGTAAAATAAATTCAAATAGTACAAAAGGGCATAAAGTGAAAATGCTACTCTGTTCTGCACTCATTTGCGCTAACTACTGTAAATACTTCTTTATGTCAATATACCATCCAAAAAACAAATTACCACTATTCATAGCCACTACAACAAAACAAAAAAAATAAAGAATTTTCAAAACGAAAATTAGGACAATATTAGATTTCAACAGGGATAAAACAACTGGCCACCTTTAGCCCATGGAACATAGTGGCAGAGACCAATCTTAACAGCTCAGACTGAGGTACTTCAATGCAGTTCTGCCATATGCTTTCCCTTTTGATTTTATCATGCTTGCTCAGCCAAGAGTGAAGTGTGCTCTGGGTGCCAAATCATTGCCATTAGCACATTCCCATTTAATATGCCTTCTTTCCACTTAAATATAAATAGCAGTAAATCCTAGGTGAAAACTGGAAAAACATACTTAAAAAAAAGTATTTATCTAAATCCAGTAGGAAATTGAAGCATAGTCTTACCTTCAGTTTCTACCTGAAGACAGTCTGTTATATCCTGAGCAACACAATCCTCCTTATCTGTAACAGCTGCGACTGTGCTGTCCCCTTTACATTTTTCTGTTTCAAGTTCATCAACTGAAACGATGTTGTGACACTTTTCAGGTTCTGGATTGCTCTTCTCCAGTGGGTCATCACCTTTTGTAACAGACATTTCTTGTTCTGAATCACTGCTTGTGCAAGTATCTTGCACAGAGTCATGAGAAACTGACTCCTGCAATGCTTCCTCATCCATCTGTTCATTAACACATTTCAGGAATTTTTCTACCTGAAATTGTAAGATGTTACAAGAATGAATTACTTCCAATTACAGAGAGTATTCCCACCTGCTTTACCATTTGTGCCCTGACAAACTGCATCAAAATTATTATCTCTGTTAAAATACTGATTAGACAAGCTAATGTGAGTAATTCCAAACTAACTGCACTTTGTTATCATACCATGCCCTTATTAAAGATTTCTTTAAGTGGAAGAAAATATCAGATTAAATATAAGACTATGGTCTTCCTGTTATCAATTAACACTAAGAGGATAAAGCTGAACTCTTCCAGTAGTTTTCCATAAAGGCTTCTGAGTATTGTATATAACTGTCTGATGTGACATTACCATTATAAATGTACCTACCTATTATTGAGTCATTTTGTTTTTTCAAATTATATACAGCTTTCTGCAATGTCCAAGCTATAATCTATGTTAAATGGTGCTTAGCACCAAAGATAAACTTTAAAAAGATTTTGTGCTAATCTGTTTATAAGAATAAAAATAGTGCTATCTTGGAAAGAATGAGAGCTGCCTCTTATTATTTATTTTTAATGGGGAACCATGTGTTTTTTTCAGGACCCATCAGCTCCAAGTCAAGTAGTTGTTTCAATCTAGTTGTGGAGGGTGCATCTCAGTGGCCCATGTGGGGATGAAACGGGTGTTATGAGCACTGCACTCTAACCAACTGAGCTAACCAGCCGCGCCTGAGCTCTGCCTTTTACTGAAGCAATAGAGCCAGTAAAATGATTCCTAAAAACTAGGTTTCTTCTATGAAATGTTAACAAGGCTCAAGGTCAGATGATATATACTTTCTTGCAATCTTCTGTAACAAATATTCTTCAAACAGACCTTCAGGACCTTCCTAAGAGTTAGGAAATTAAAACAAGAATGGTAGACAGAAGATGGGCATGAATAACCACCTAGAATCTTCCTTTGATGCATAGGGATTGTGCCTGTGCATCAATCAATCAGATATCTAAAGACACAACAGTCACATCTATTTTTTTCCTGAGCAATACTTAGCGATTGTTTCTGTTCTTCATTTATAGGTGAACGTATGGGGACGATTACATCCAACACAGTATAAAAGGTCCTATAGGATTGATTGAACTGATATTGGGGACTCCGTTCAGATATAACTAGAGCCACTAAAATATTAAAATACACAATCAAACCATATGAAATACAATAAATATAAAACCAGCTATACATTTGTAACATGTTTTGGAAGAATACTGGAGTTAAGGATAATGTACACGGGGAAAAACAAAGTCATCGTGGGGTCTGAGATTTGGTTCTGTTGACTTAAAAGAACTGCTGGAGATGTGACTGATACAATGGTTCTGCTCACCTAGATGTTTTTTTTCTACAAAGGAGAAGGATCACTCATCAAACCAAGCAAAAGCACTTTCAATTACTTTTGTTTTCCAGGTTGGGCGACAGGTACAGCAAGTCCAGGAGAGGGGATATGAATATTCTAGATAACAATGTGAATCACTAAATTAGCCTTGAGTCTCATGTCATTAGGATGAACTTGTTAGTGCAAAGTTTAATCAATCATCTTTAGATGACTCCAAAATTAAGGATTACAATAAGAGCTGTATCAGACATTGGACTTCCAGGATCCTACTTAGCCTAAAACAGGTGAGAAATTTTCACTGTCTGTTACGACTTACGCAAGGCAACTTTACCTATTCATCTTCCCAGGAACTACTACTTTGTAGTTTTAAAACATCCTTTTTTCATATTACCAACTTAATCTTTTCCAAATTTAGATCGCACAGTATATGCCTTTAGGAAGCAAGTGGGAAAGAATTTTAGGTATCCTTATATCTGGTAGAAACAGCATTTCCATTTGAAAACAACAATTTTAAGGACTCACACTCACAAAATGAAATTATCTCTGTAAATATAAAAGAAAATTTATACATACCTTACTCAAAGCTTTGCTTTTCTTGAAACATGTTTTTTCTGACTCTTCAGTAAAGAAAATGTGTTTGTTTTTCATATTAATTTGTCTTCTCATGTCCAAGAACTTTGATTTATACTTCACATCCTTCTGTAGATACCTGACTTGCCTACGACTGAAATTTGAAATTCCACCATATCTGTGACCAAATCAAAAGAAGTTGACTTAAATCTTAAGTTCTGAGTTTGTTTCCTTATATGAAAAGAAAATAAAACTAACCATTTTCATTATTTTTCTATTAGCAGCTATTATTTTAATTTCCTTTTTCTAACTTATGAAAATTATGAAATAAAGTTCAAAACGCAGGAGTTTAAGGTCTAGTTTGTATGTTAATTCTCAAGTAAATGTGAAACACCCAACTTGACAATATCAGCATATCTTACATAGAGCAGAAAGCAGAAATAAAACAAAGAAACAGCAGAAAAATACAACCCCATTGCAGTTGGAGAAATATAATTTTTTCTCATGGTGAGGTGATGCCAAAGTTCTTTAACATATATCTGGATATGTTCGCATTATCTTAAAAGTGGTCACTAAATTCTTAACCTAAATCATCTGGATTCACCAAGGAAGCAAATCCCTATTATTAAAATAATTAGGGAATGTCATTTGATCTACCCATTTGCATTTTTCCAGTCCTAAAAGATATATACATATATTTGCTATGAAGCCTTTTTTGACTATATCAAGTCTCATTAACTTCCTCTTCTATAGACTATTAGACACTTAAAGAGTATAATATACAATTTAGTACTTATAAACTCCAAAACAGTTTAGTTTTAAATGTCAGGTATTATTTTCAAGCCATATTAAAAACTTCTGTGTAAAAAGTGTATCTTATCTTTCCCTTTTAAATAGAACTGGGTGCTCTAAATAGAAGGAGAATAGTTAAATCCAAGGTAAGAGTATAAATCTCTATGAGTGTATACTAGCAAGAGCTACCCAAGTAATTTCTCCATAAAAAAAAAAAAAAATTACAAATGGATAGAAATAAACTCTGCTAGGAATTTAAATGTGGCACTATCAGGAAAATCCATTCTATGACTAAACTTTGATTTTTAGCCTTAAAGAATTATATGAACTACAATTGCCTTGAAGTACCATATGGAAAGATAACTGAGTCTTTTAAAAATATATTCATAGTATTATAATTATGAGCATGTATTTCTGAATTTGGATTTAATTTAGGTCAACCTATGTCCTTTTCTTGCTGACTTCATAATATGTAAGTATCTGTTAAAGTTTCACAACTAACAAAATATGTCTCAACTCTTAGAAACATCAAAGACCTTAACTTTTATTTAAGTTACTGATGCAAGCTGACATATGGTAGGTCTTCAGTTTGCCATAATTATGCAGTTTAGTCTTCATGTCATCTGCAATGAACTCTTCAGTTTCCTTATATTTAATGCTTCGGTATTTAATCCCATAGATCATTTATACTTTCTGTACACAAAAGTTCATAGCAGCTTTATCTGTAATAGCAAAATACCACATACAACCCAAATGTTGTATAGGTAAATACAATAGGTAAATGGTTGGGCAAACTGTATATGGTACTACACTGGAATACTGTTCGGCAATACGAAGGAATGAACTATTGGTACATGCAATAATAACCTGGGGTTACCTGAAATTGTATGCTTAGATCTTAGGAAACTACCTCGCTGTACATACAGGATGGTCAATTAAACATAGGCCCCACTGAAAGGATCAGGTAAATGTACTCATAAGTCAGGGTGTTCATGTGCATTGTTGAGGGAAACAAGTAAGCTGTAGACTATGTATAGTATGATTCTATTTTTCTATTTTATAAAAAGAGAATAAGATGTGTGTACATGTACATAATCATAAAATCACACATCAATAAATTAGAAAGGATATATGCCAAATTATGCCTATATCTGGGAAATGATTTGAAAGAAAAATTTTCACTCTGTACTTGTTACTTCTATTTTTCTTGAGTTTTACTATTTACTACTCTCATAATAAAAGACAGAAAAGGTTACTGCAGATTTTAACTTTTTATGGCATGTTCACAATACACTACAGATGTACACAGAGATATGTGAGACATTAGGTGAAGAGAGAGCCATGCTTAGAAGTCTCAAGAGCTGGGCTTGAATCCCTTCTCTCCAGCAAATGATGTAACTGTGACCAAGTCAAACCCTCAGGAGCTGTAGTTACTTTATCTATGAAATAGGAATAACAACACTGGATTGCTATGAAGCATAACTGCGTTAATACATGTGAATACATCAAACATATGGTGTTACTACTAACAAGAGAGGTTAGTGTTTTAATTGTAACACCTTAAATGCCATAAAATATATAATTATTATTAGATATCTGAATATCAGAGAGCTTTAAGACAGCTGAAGTGGTTAAGATTTAGGGAAAACAGCACTTATATATAATTACTTTTGTCCTGAGCCATGCTTCAATCCTAGAAGGGAACCATTGTCATCCAAGTCTGAATCTGGATTTTCATCGATGTCCAGTTCATGGCTAAACAAATAAACAAAAGGTAAATACTGATAAGCTGTTACCTCCAGAGCCCACCAGTTCAGGCAAATATCAACAGGTGCACATAGTCAACGTATACAAACTTTCCCATAACAATCAACCATAGTTCGCAAATCCAGAAAGATAGGTAAAAAGAATACTGTAACCAGGATTTTTCCAAATGAGAAAAGTACTCAGCAATGTTTGGAACACAGTAATAAGCACTCAAATCTTAAACCACGTCAAGTAATTATCTCTATTCCTGAACATGGTACAAATATGAATCTCTCCATTTTCCTTTGGAAAAACACCAGTAAAAGCTGCAGCCTTAAACTAATCTCCTACAATAGAAAGATATCTCTAGAGGTTTTTCTGAAAAACAAGGAAACATTTAAGAAGTATCAACCCAATGAAAAAATTATAAAAGAAAAAATATTGTTAAGAAGAATAAAGCTGTGATACAAGTGATATTAGTAACCCAAGATCTATTGGGGATGACTTCTAATGCTCCCTTTTATCTGGGTGACAGTAACAAGTAAATGAAAATGGTGAGAGATTCTTCTTCCAAATTAAGTTACACTCACTGAACATTTATGGAGGACCTACTGGGTCCCAGGAAATGTAAGTACACACAGTCTGCCTTAGGGAACTAGCAGGAACTAATGGAGGAGTTAACAAGCGATGCCTACTATGTAGAAGGAAAACAGCAGACGTATGCTTTTATCTACTAAGTTGCTGAGCCTCTAAAGTTTTTCTAGAAGAGGTATGGAACATAAAAGTATATGTGGAGCACTTCATATCCTGTCAAAGAAATGTTTCCAGCTAACGTCCAAATTTTAACATCCATCCTTTCCTTGTATTTTACATTAGCTTTTAACAATATCCTACACCTTACATTATTTTCTACTTGTCTAACTACTTGTATCAATGGTGTACTAGAAAGAGTTCTGTCTCTGAGAATTGGACTGGGCTCTAGCTTTAGTTATCATTGCTGCTATATAAATCTGGGTAAGGTATTTATCCTTGTTTTGTTTTAGTATTCTTATCTATAGAATGAGAGTATTAGGTTTAATATATTTGAGGTATATTTTAGAAATAAGATTCTGTGACAATATATATCAAGACTTTTGAAAAAAAATTTAAAACTTCCTCGACAAAGAGACCACACCTACTTACATATATATTACTAATTGATAGCTACTGTCAGATATATTACATGTTAGTTTTAGTCTTCCCAATGATCTCACAAAAAAGGCATCAGTTCCATTTTACAGACAAAAAATTGTGGCAGAATAAGAGGCAGAGTTGGGATCTGACCCTGTCCCAAAGCCCCAGGTCTTATCTATCTCTTCTCCTCACAGAATCAGCAGTGTTGTAATGTAACAAGCACTTCATAAGCACTCACTCATGGACACAATGGAGAAAGGTAACATGCAACTTGCCTCCTCTTGAGTTTGCTTGGCTTACGTTCAGGTGGA